GCAAGTATTACAGCCATTTAAAGCAAACTCGCGATCCCATGTAGAAATTTTCAATTGAGCTTTTTTCCCTTGTGCATTTTCTCCAAAACCGTGTTCTATTTAAATGTAGAAGCTTGACTTCCCCGCAAACCGAGGCTGGACTTTCTCGTTTGTTGTTCGCGTTAATTACAGTAGATGTGCTAACTCATGAAATGTTGACCGAAATATTGAAATCCGTTCTCGACTCGAAAAGATTACATAAGTTGGGTTGTAGTATTAATCACCGCGCAACATAATCCCATAACAATTCAGTTACTTCAGGATGCCGACTTTTGAATGAACTTCTACCCGGTCGCCTGCAAAAACTATGCTCTGCAAAAAGGATTAATTAAGTAACATGCATTTGCTCATTGGTTTTCGATGCCTTTAAAAATGCAATGGGATGGTATTAAATATTCATTCTCTTACTCATTTGGAAGAAAATTATGCCGTCTTTGAATTGTATCCTTTACGGAAACGTATAATTCGGTTTGAAAAAAACTTTCAAATTCCCGAATGTCTTTGAACCCGACCTGTCGGTACACTTGCATTTAGGGCTTCCAACCATCAAGCTGTATATATGTCGCGTACGGAAAATCATACATTTTTATATGCTATTAAGAGGAGACCATATGGGGTTCATAAAATGTGGCGGTGGATTTGAGCCATCTTGTAAACTTTACAAGTAACATTGGTAGATACAGAGACACGAGGTTTTATGAACAGGCATTTCACGGTCTTAAAAAATCTCATAATAAGAAACCTTTTAAAACCGATCTATACCTTCCCATCAAGGGTACAATTCAAAGAAGACGTAATTTTCGACCAAATGAGTTAAAGTGTGAATATTTTTGCATGTCTCCTGTGAGATATATTTCATTTTATAAGGATATCGACAATCAGCGAGAAAAGTTCGTACTAATTAAGCAGCCATTTTTACAGAGTGGTCTTCGCAGGCAGACGGGTAGAAGTTCATTCAAAAGTCGACATCCTGAATTAACTGAATTTTTATGGGATTATGTTGTGCAGTTATTAGTATTACAACCCCTACTTATGTAATCTTTTCGAGTCGGCAACGGATTTCAATATTTCGGTTAACATTTCATGAGCTAGGACATCTACTATAACTGTGGAGTCTACTGACCACGTCCACGCATTATTTAAGGCACTGGAGTTCTGCGTTCATTTTATAATATGAACATGATTCTGTATCAAACGAGCGAAAGAAAAAAATATTTTTGTTCAAGTTTTCCATGAAATGTATTTGAATTTATAAGACCGTCGAAAATCAGTGTGGAAATACATGCTAATTATGTAGCTATTTTTTTTACCGAGTACGGTTTTTACAGGAGATGGAAAAGAAGTGCGTTCGAAGCCGACATCCTGCCGAGTCCAAATTATTAATGGATTATGCCGCAAGATAATCAGTATTAAATCCCCACCAAATAAATCCTTCCTAATCGCATTTCAGAATTTTGATCAACATTTCATGAGATCGACCACTCACTGTAGATTTTTTAAAGATTCTCTGCTGCAAAGTTTGGTTACCACAAAGTAAAGATATTTGGGGGATTTGGTAGTTCTGGTGGTGGAGGAATCACATTACGTGTGAGGTGGATCTGGTATTTCGACATTACAGTGAATTTTGCTGTCCAATTAGGCCCATGATGTGATTTAATGCGTGCGGCCTGTGTGCGGCGGATGTATACTGGCTCCTTTGATGCTGGATGGCTGGTCTCAGTGTGATGGATTCGCAGGTGACCGACCAGGCCGATGTGTGATGTGAAGGTGTGGTCGCAGTTAGGACGGACTGGGATCGAGAACGCATTGCCCATGGTGGGAGCAATAGTGGAGGTAGTGGCAATAGTGTTGGTGGTGGTGGTTGGAGGGATGTAAGGCGTATTTTTGCTGATCGTGAGAGTGGAAATTCTCGTCGTCGTCGTCGTTGCGGTAGTTGTGGGAGTGATGATGGGAGTAGTGGTGGGCTGGCGGCGGTGACGAGAGTTGGTTCACTGTTTGTGGTGGTGGTGGCGGTGTTGGTGGCGTGGAGGTCGCGGCAGGGGTGACACCTGAGGCGTTTTTGGAGTCAATGGATGGAGTTGTCATGTTGTTATTGCATTGGGTCCGATGATTTCCCTCGAAGTCAGTTTTTGCGCGGAGTGTCAGCTGGCAATGGCGACACGATGGGTGTCGGGATTATGAAACCACTGTGCTTGAGACTTGAAAGTCGCTCTGTTGGCTTTGACAACGGCGACCTGCTTGGCTTTGTAGACTACGGTTCCATTCTTTAACGCTCTTCTTCATATCCGTTAGCTTTGAAGAAGGAGACACGATAGCTGGGACAAGAGCTTTATTAGCCTGACATTTCGGATTCCTGCTAGAACCCATCATCAGAGACAAAGGCAGATACGGGTGGTTCATGCACAAGGGACTGCAGTATTTGTAGAAGGCAGTCGCCATGCTACCGCATAACTATGAGTATTCATCACGGATCGTTGCACTTGGTGTGCTGACTGTTTGATGACCGATATTCGCATCTTTACTTGCTGCAATTTCATCACGTGCGTTGGATGTTGAACCCGTCAGTTCTAGGCGAAGTTTTTCCAGGTCTTATGGCTGATTTGTGGATTTCTTAGGGAAATTTCCAGTGTCGTTGCAACGTCGTTTCTGTTCCATCTATCGATCAGTACCCATGGCGATATCGCCTCATAATGGCCGTCTGGGGGGAGTGGGGGGGGGGGCGCTTGTCACATATCACCACAAGGTGGCGGTTCTAGCGCAGTCGTTTGACATGAATGCTAAGAATTCTGGTGTATTCAAGAAATTTCGCGTCCGGAATTCCGTTTCGCCACCTCAGCTTTAGTATTCCTTGGAGACAGCTGACATGAAAGCAGTTGTGTTTACTGACTTGGTTGGCGTAGACGCTCCATGTTCCCATCCGTATGGTAGCGGCATCAGGACTGGTGACCTCTGCCGAATGTCTGACTGGCATTGGAGATCCATTAGCAACTTTGTCTTCGTTCTGGAAATTCCTTAATATTGTGCTTCCTAGGTACACGGAGTTGTCCACGCGTGCAAAATGAGCTCCATTTACGTTGATTTGGGGTTATATGGGGTGCATATTTGGCGCCGGTTGATGCATAGCTGGCTACTGCAGGCCGATCGTAGACCGGGGACCTCTTCTTTTAGTATCCATACCCTGAAGCAAGAGCATTGTGGAGAACGCAGTTTTTGCAACCACATAGTAAATTACTTTTCTTTTGATTCGATGTCTGCAAAAGGAATACGGAAATGGATCAAGATATCCTCTCGAAACAGCCCACAGAGACCAAACTGTGTTTACACAGAATCGAAAAAACAGTAGAGAAAATTGGCAGAGACTGGAAGGAAGAAAAGGAACAGACAGGCGCTATTTTTAGCAGTCGCTAATTTAACTTGCTGGAAAACAAAATTTATCAACTATCTCAACTAACCTGACTGCAAAAACTCGTGATACAGAGAATGGTGGGGATCTTAAAAAGCAGCGATTTAAGCCAGTAGTGAAAGTGGTGGAGGAGGAGAAGGCAGTTCTTCGAAAAGACTGAGTCGTAATGGAAACGTCCAAACTGTTAACCAGAATCAGGCAGAATAGAGACGGGGAATGAAATTTTCGGAGCAGGGAGGCTATATATGGGGAGGGCTCAAGTTGAGTGACGATTGCGTGTGCAAGGAGGGATCGTGGGTAAACGAACCAACAAGCGACTATGGGGGAGTCAGCCTTTCAGAGGGGGGACGCGAACGGTGAGTTGTGCTCGCAGACCTTGGCAGTGGTCACCGAGGTCGGCATGACGAATAGGGTTATCTGCCCTATCGGAAAAAACTGCAGCGCCCTTCAAAGCTGATCCTGTCTGGTGCAATCCTCGAAGGCATGCTGGAAAGTGATCAGAGTGCAACCACCAGAATTCGGTCAAGGGAAAAAGTAAAAATTCAACTGTAGCCAAGGACTGCAATAAGACTGAAAAAATGAAGATAGATAAACGGAGGGTCGACAGGTCATCGTCAAAATTGAATAACAGGGTCGACTCTACATCGATTCACTTACTTCCAAGTCCAACGATTTACCATTAAATAATGAATCAACCTTTTGTGGACTGCTATTTGGAATATGCATGGTCCCACCTTTTCCCAGCTAGGATTAGGGTGTGGTTACCTGATGATTTTTAATAAATCACCAACGGTCATTTCATTCAGGTTAGCAAAAGTAAGAGATCCAGGTCGGTAATCTGAGGAGGATGAATTGCTCACCGGATCAGGGGACTTTTCTGGCTGATGTTTCGAAGAGCTGGGGCTGCTCTCCATTGTCAAAGCGTCAAGTGAAAAAATCGATCAGCATTTTTGAATAGACTGCCGCATTAGTTGGCCCTGGGCTGATTGATTTTTTTCTTCTTTCTCTGCCTTGGCCTACTGGCCGTCGCCTGTGAATGTTGGTGGCCTCCTGTAATACGTGTCGTCACCTCAATTGGGGTTGGTTGCGTTTGCGTTCCCCTTTTGGGTGAAGTGGTCGACAGGCCGTGTTTGCTCGGCATTCTTAGGCTCCGTGTGATTGTCTTGTCTTTGTCACGGTGTATGAAGTGACGTAGGACTTTATAGGCCGAAGGAAGGTCTAGATGCCTGTTGATGGAGTTGGCATCTGAGTACCAAGCCTCAAGTGTGAGACGCTCAGTCAGCCAGAAAAGTCCCCTGATCCGGTGAGCAATTCATTCTCCTCAGATTACCGACCCGGATCTTTTACTTTTGCTAACCTGAGCTCAAGTTTTGAGCCCTCAGTGCTCCGTGCAGCGCGCCGTTGGGAGAAATTCGCCCTACGGACCGCGTCAACACAAGCGCAACTGCACTTTCTTCATCGCTGCCTTGACCAACAATTGACTCCGAAATGTGTCACCTATAAGCCGCCTGTGAATTCAACCTTGGAATGGGAGACTTTGGCGCGACACAGCAGAAGAATGACTAGAGTACTTATACATGATTGCCATCAAAGACTGCAACTTTACAGCCTAGAAATTGCTCAATCTAAATCATATTTCGAGGCAAATACTGGTGAAGCATCGAAGGACATTGAGGAAAGCATTCTCAATCATGTTCGAAAGGTACGAGCCAAAAAGGACAAAGAATTATCAGTAAAATTGGCCAAACTGAGACCAGTTCGCTCAGATCGCTCGTCGGGCGACCTTGTCCACAACCTTTCTTCTAAATCCCTCACCAACACACAACTTGCAGTCCTGGGACGTGGAGCCACTTTCAACACAGCAGACGCTGCACCCCCAGAGTTCATTGCCGCTTTTAAATCTGTTCTTCAGCTAACACAAACGTCAGAAGAGACGAAGGAGTTGATCCGTCACAAAACCTCCTCTTTGTTAATGCAACATAAGAAGAGCGAAACTCTTAGCAAGGAAGAACAGCAAGCATTAAAAAGCCTAAAAGCGGATAAAGACATAATCATCCTGCCGGCTGACAAAGGCCGTTCCACAGTAGTGCTTGACAAATCCGATTACCAGAAGAAAGCTTTGAGCCTACTCGACGACACGCAGTCCTATAAACTTTGTCCAGCCAGTGAGATGAAAAATCTGCTTACTCAAATAAACAAAAGCCTGGCAAACCTCAGAGCGAATGGAACAATCACAGTTAAAGATTGGTTTCTTATGAAACCCTCTGACTCTGCCACCGCGCGGTTTCATGGTCTTCCGAAGGTACACAAAGCTAACATACCTCTTAGACCCATCGTCACCCTACGTGGTACTCCTGCATACGGTTTGGCAAAATGGATGTTTGCTCGACTTAAGTTCCTTACAGAAGGATCGCCAACAACAGTGGCCTCTGCTAATCAGTTCCTTGAACGCTTAAAACATCTGAAATTAGAGCCAGATGAATCCATGGTATCGTTTGATGTCGTTTCACTCTTTACCTTCATTCCACAAAAAATAGCGATTGACGTTGTGAGACAACTCCTGGCTGATCGCTACAACGAGAGAGACAATCCCCTGAAGACTGAACATCTGATGGAGCTCTTACGCTATTGCCTAAAAACATATTTCACCTTTGGTGGACAAATGTATGAACAAATCAAAGGCACCCCTATGGGCTCCCCCATATCAGGGCTGATTGCTGAAGTGGTTCTTCAACGGATAGAACACTTGGTGTTCACCAAGTATCAACCAAAGTTCTGGGCTCGTTACGTCGATGACACCTTCGCAATTGTCAAATCATCTAACGTTGAGCACCTTAAAGAATTACTGAACTCGGTTGACCAGAATATCCAATTCACGATGGAAGCCGAAACAAACAACCAACTTCCCTTCCTCGATGTCCTTGTGCGTCGGTGTGCAACTGGACAATTACAAACTACCGTTTTCAGAAAAGCCACCAACACAAGACAAATACTGCGCTTCAACAGCAATCACCCCCTCTCTCACAAACGCAGCTGTGTCCGTACTCTGTTCCAAAGAGTTGAAACACACTGCAGCACACCAGCCGACAAAAGAGTTGAACGACAATATCTGCATGATCTCTTTCGAACCAATGGATACCCAAGCCACTTCATCAAGCAAAGCAAGCGCCGAGTGAACAGACGACGGCCACAAGAAGAACAACCCGAAGTCTGGAGGGCTATTCCTTACATTAAAGGAGTCTCCGAGGCGGTTTCAAGACTGCTACAACCCGCCAGGGTAGGTATTGCCCACCGACCCCAGGCAACAATTCGTCGCCGTTTGATGCAAGCCAAAGACATACTGCCCCCACTGAAACCTCAGCAGTTGTCTATCAAATACGTTGTAAGGATGGAGACTGCAACTACGTTGGGGAAACCGGACGGAAATTGCAGACCCGCCTACATGAGCACAAACTGGCAACACGGAGACTAGACCCAAACTAACAGCTTGCGGCTCACATCCGGGAAACTGGTCACAGTTTTGATTTTCAAGGAGCAGCCGTCTTAGGCAGGGGCACCTCAAGGACTGAGAGTCTCACACTTGAGGCTTGGTACTCAGATGCCAACTCCATCAACAGGCATCTAGACCTTCCTTCGGCCTATAAAGTCCTACGTCACTTCATACACCGTGACAAAGACAAGACAATCACACGGAGCCTAAGAATGCCGAGCAAACACGGCCTGTCGACCACTTCACCCAAAAGGGGAACGCAAACGCAACCAACCCCAATTGAGGTGACGACACGTATTACAGGAGGCCACCAACATTCACAGGCGACGGCCAGTAGGCCAAGGCAGAGAAAGAAGAAAAAAATCAATCAGCCCAGGGCCAACTAATGCGGCAGTCTATTCAAAAATGCTGATCGATTTTTTCACTTGACGCTTTGACAATGGAGAGCAGCCCCAGCTCTTCGAAACATCAGCCAGAAAAGTCCCCTGATCCGGTGAGCAATTCATTCTCCTCAGGTCATTTCATTCTCGCGTATCGGTATAGGCAAACCATGCGATTGCAGGCTGTTTGTCGTTTTGTTTGTTTGTCCGCTTTTCATCCTGCAGTGCAGCCCGACCGAAGAACCTCACTGACCGGAGCGTGTGATCTGGCCACAACTGCGGAGCGCGGGAGTTTTAACCAGTCGAATCTGCGTTCAAGTACGAGCTCCCCCCGGGCGCAGGCTTTCAGGTTGGCTGGTTGAAGAAAAATTGGCCACAAATTACGATTTTGAAGCAAGCATACACAGCCGAATGTATTGGGACCAGCATATTTCGCGACGGCTTATCAACGGCAACCTGTCGCTGCATAACAGAGATAACGAATGAGAAGGATACAGAGAGCTGAACTTCCGCAGAGAAAATCAATATAAAACAGCAAGGTCATCGTTTATCGCAGACAGACTAATCAATAAAATGGTAATTTAAAAACACGAGGGAGTTAGCGCGTAGAGCAGGCATGCAAATCGAAAGGGCTGAGATTTACCAGGGCAAGTTGAGGTTGACCATGTGGTCTAACTGCTTGCATGGGTCGGGTTTCTCCCGCCACATGTGGGCTGCCTCCAAGTAACAAAATATCCAAGTTGTTAATGCCCGAACTAGTACTAGGAAGGATGTTTTAGGGGGTCAGCGGAGTGACGGCTGTCCAGGAGGTGCTTTGTGATAGAAGAACGAGGAATTTCATTTTCCTGCTTTAGAAACCATTTAGGCAGGTACTCAACCGCTGCGTATGCTTGCTTCAACTTCATACAGGGGAAATATTGTTCCAAGAAATTACGATCCTTATCTTTACTAACTATGCATCTCAAGCCCAAATCCCCAAATCCTGACGGAAAAACCCCTCCTTCGTCCTGTCATCTGATGCAATCGATGTCATCTTTAATGCCTCCTGATCACGTCGACATGATTAGTTAAGGGGTCAACCAATCCCAAAATTGCAAACTGGTGGCCCAACCAATCAATTTCTCATGTCCCTGAGGACCCGTCCGCCACACGTATGGGGCTCGGCAAGTCATGCGCTGAAATGACGGATGTCCTTTGACCTGACCTATTAGCATCTTGCCACGCCACGGTTACCCATCCAGTGAGCCAATGATATATCGATCGTCGTTTCCGACGATGCCCACACTGCCTGTATTATCCACTGCTCTCTGGCTGATGGTTAGGCCCGAGAGAGAGGGCCGTAAGGCACAACGGGATGAGTAAGTTCCGTAAAAACGATCGGTGAGCGTCCCTCTACCATGATCTCATATGTCTATACATACATATTGTAGAGGTGAATGACTAAACAAAAGTACTTCAATTTTCTATTTACCGAGAAGAACTTTTTCATCACTACCTCCCTCCGAGCCCGTTCCTTTGTCTACTGTCTAGAGGACATTCGGACAGTATGTGTGTCTCGAGGTTTTTTATTTTTCGTAATGATATCAAAGGCTCAAATACTACTAGTCTGGACAACGCCTGATTAGGGACATTTCACGTCTGTAGCCGGATTAATGACAGCGGCGGACGTTTTAAAGTTCACAGGTGGCGCAGAGACATCGGCTGTGTCGAGTCAGGAATATAAGTGTTCGGATGCCGACAAAAACCTCTGCAAATGGTCGGGTGTTCTCCACGTACTACCCATAAGGTCAGGTTTCTCAGGCGGAGTGTTGCTTCAAATTCCTCCTGAACCCCAGTCTCAGCCAATATTTCAGCCACCCAGACTTGAACTAGAAAAGAATTCGACAAGTATGCGTGAATGTCTGAAACCCACTGCAGGGAAGTTTATTCCGCCCAATCCCTGTTTCGCTATCTTCCAAATACACACCTTGTCTCTCTCCACTTGGGAGCTATACCGCTACCCGTGGTTCTTTGTAAAGTTGTCCCGCAGTTATTTCAGTTTAATGATTTCTCGTTGTCAACACGAAAGTCACCTGCTGCCAATGCTAGTGAGTTTAGAAAGCCTCGAGTTTCTAGGCATACTGAGAAGTAGTGTTAGGGCACAAAAGTAAGCTCGTGGCTTTTTACCAACAGGCGACTAACGAGGCACACAGCAGCTGGCTTGTAGAAAGGTTAGCCACCCGTGGGTTAGATCGCAGTTGGTAGCCAGGAATGGGGAAGCTGACGACGACCTTAACCCTAACCTCAAACTTAAACGGTAACCGTTAACCCTAACGGCAACCATAATCCTAACCGAATTCATAAACGTAACCGTTGTCCCTTGAAATAGCCGTAACTGAGAAACCTAACCGTAATACTGAAACCTATTCGTACGTTCAAACCCTAACCGTAACCCGAAAACCTAAGCCTAAAGTCATAACCCTAACCCGAAAATCGGAAACCAATAACCGGTACCCTAATCCTAACTTCAAACGTAAAACGGAAGCCAAATGAGTCAGATGTGTCTATGGAGCCTCACAAAATAGTCCCAGTAAACAAGCCCCCCCCCAGCCACCTGTAATACGGGGCCTGGCTACCAACTGCGATCTAGCCCACCCGTGCAAGCCAGCTACACGGGACTGAGTCTTAAAAACGCCGTCAGCACGCTGGTGAGAACAGAACACCCGAAGAGCAGGTATACAAGTCTCTCTGTGTGTAGATGAACCCTCTGATTTTAACATGTGCGCATCTAGGCTTTACTCAGAGCGAAAAAGAGCACTGAAGGCGCGATGACACCGGCCGAGAAGCCGGCATCACATGCGGGTCAAGTTTGGTCAGGGGGGGAGAGCAGCGGCGGCGGGTACTTCACAGTCGAGCGCGCACTGCATGTGACTTGACATGCGGCTCGAGCAGGGGCCATGAGGGTGACCCGTAGACGCTTGTGCCATGTCACCTACCGAACTGCAAGAGCCCATGAAGCTGGCAGAAAAAAAACGGTTACATCAAGTTAAGCGGGTACTCTCGCAGTTTACGGTCAGGTTGCAGTCGCTGGCAGTGACTTAGTTGAACATGTGCGTAATCCGGCGTTGAACTATTTTTCATCTGCAGGAGGCATCATCTTAAGGTACAGACGCCCCTTCTGCCCTCGCACATGGCCGCCGAAAAGGCATGCAACTTTGTGGGTTCAAGTGAAGGAGGGCGGTGAGCCCTCGGAGAGGGGGGGGGGGCAATCAAGCCGTAGACTTTTCGGCGCAGAGGCCGACTGATAGCAGTAGCACTGACAACCCCAAAAAAACTGGCAGAAAAATTCCATTTTAAGTAGAACTACATTGGTAGAGGGCGCTCACCGATCGTTCATACAGAACTCACTCGTTCCGTTGTGCCTTACGGGCTCGCTCTCGAGCCCACCAGCAGCCGCACAGGGGTACATGATATAGGCAGAATGGCAAAGACAAGGGAGACTGGAATGGCCATTTCTGGCTTATTAGCCGTCGTCAGCCAGGCATACCCAATCCCGAAGTGTGCCACACCCGTGGCTCGAACTCGCGACCTGTTAGTTAGAGATCCACGCTTTAAACCACTGGGCCACGAGCCCGTTGCCTGTCGGTTTACATCGGAAATATACAATAGTAGGGGGCGCTCATTCCGCCTATATCATGGGCCGCCGTGCGGCTGCTGGTTGGGCTCGAGAGAGAGCCAGTAAAGCACAACGGAACGAGCGAGTTCCGTAAGAACGATCGGTGAGCGCCCCTTACCATTGTATATTCCCGATCGAAAACCGACAGGGCAACGGGATCGTGGCCCGGTGGGTAGAGACGTGGACTTCTAAACAACAGGTCGCGAGTTCGAGCCTCGGGTTTTCTACACGACGGCTAATAAGCCAGAAATGGCCATTTCAGTCCCCCTTGTCTTTGTCGATAATGCCATTCAGCCTAGAACTACATTGCTGACGAAGACGAGGGAGACTGAACTGGTCGTTTTTGGCTTGCTAGGCATCATCAGCCAGCCATGTTCACCCCTGAGGTTCGAGCCCATGACCTATTGGTTAGAAGTCCAACGTCCTCACTCGAGGAAGTGCCGAAAGTGTAAGCACATTGAGAACGCGCCACGACGGCCGACGGTGATCGGTCTACCACTTGTCACCATGGCTATTGCACGCAGGACACTGGAGTTCAGGGCGCGCTGTGGACCCAAGGTTAACCTGTAGAATCCTCCATAGGCAAGAAGGACTGTGGGGCTCCTTAAGGGATGCATCGACAAAAAATAACAAAAGGCGCAAACTTTACTGGGCACACAAACCACCAACCGTGCTCTTTCTGCTTCTCCACTGTGCTTCCCCTGATCCCGTGCTTGTTTTCTCGCGATGAGGATCTTCCAGGGATCAAGTCGCCGTGAGTAGGCCTGCGACTGACGATATCTCGAGTTAAGTGTTAAAATATGACTCAAAACACACATGAAAGTCCGACTGTCGCGTCCGACGATGTCTCCCGTGTGCTCCACAGCAAGGTGATGCAAGCATGGTGACTTGCGCGTGATTTAGTTTACAGTGAGTATGAACTTGCGCGGCATCTACCGCACTCTCTC